TCACTAGGGCGCATGCGAGAAAACTCAGCACTTCAAATCACTTGAAGAGAAGAGGTGCATGCTTAATCAACACTTCTGGAAATTCAACGATCAAGTGTATGCAGCTATTAACTCCCGCAACAGTGGCAAACTTAAACGTCGCTGTGCGGAGAAAAATTATCCATAAAGAACAAGACTTACGCATTTGCAAAGTTATCGCTTCTCTGACTGAATTCTGCGAAGTCATACACACAGGCGAGATATGCAGCGCCCAATGGGAAGGGCAGAAGGCGGTGCTGATGAAAGTGAAAACCTGTATAAGGGCTAACTTCGAAACAGACAAGATACTAAGCCCACCTTGCAAACCATCGAAAACTTCATGGAAGTAATGGATGGCCTGCTGGAAGCTTACCCTGGCATAACCATACACGCCTACAGGGTAAGCTAAGACCTTTTGGAGAGATTTTTCTGTAAGATGGCGCCAAACAGCAGAATTAGAACAAGACCCGTGGAAAATATAATGAAGCTGGGCGCCCGCCTAATGAAACAACAACTAGAATTTTGGGGAGACGGATCCACCATTGATGACGATTACGAGCTCATTGAAAAGCTGGATTACACGACACCAGCCCAGGCCGAAGAAGGGTTCCTGCCATACGACCTGAATGGGGTGCCGTTCAAAGTAGCTGCCAAACGTCTAACCGTTAACGAGGCGGAATACTTCAGGCTGCTCACAGGCTATGGAATAGCCCAATACATCCGTGAGCAGCTAAACTGCCAAGCATGTCTAAGCGACCTAACGCTAACGAGAGAAGAAGCATGCTCCGAAGTTGATGGCATGCTAGTCGCCAAAATACAGGAACACGACGAAATCCTGGCTAACAAGCATCTGGAAACCGAATTTCCGAGGCTTGATGTACTCAATGTTTTCTTGGAAGCCTTGGGCATCTATTTGGGAATTATGAAGTTCCACATGGTTGAACGCAACATCGGCAAGCGCACCCAAGCGACAATTGTGAAGCAGCTTGACTTCTTCAAGAAAAAAGGCTGCTGCCCCAACGGAAATAGTCACCGGACTAACCTCCTAGGCTTCATCATACATTTGCTGCTGATTGACAAAAACTGGATCCAAGAACCAGTTGCAAATGTATCATCATTTTGAAGTCGTTCTCGTCCGCTCGCAAAGTCAAATCCAGCTATCCGGTCGCCGCCTCATATAGATGAAGCTTTGCTACATGCTAAAGGTAAGTTTGCATTTATCGTTACTTATTATTATGTATAATTTATTCATTT